TTCCCTACATCTCTTTTATGAGTAGCACCACTCTTGTCCAGATTATAAATTACTTTTGACATCACACAAGTGAGTTAATTCCACTCTTGGAGGTGGTGACCATCTTTGTAGATTTGATACGTATTGTCAGTATTTAGGAGATCCACCTAGCCAAGCTGTTGCCTATCATCTTCAAAAAGAGCACTGCCAGTTGTGCGATAATACTCTGCTGAACAAGTTGTTTAGGAAGAACAGTTTCTCAGATGCTAGCTTGTTTTTTCTCCTCTCCTGTGAAAATCTAGCATCTCCTCAGGTCTTCTGGCTCCTCATTCCCACCAGCCCCTCAGCAGAAGGAGCCCACATTGCCAACAAGAAAAAGGAAGTAAACAGAGTCTTGGAGGACTTGCTTCACTTTGCGAGGAAAGGGTATGTTTCACGCTACAAACATTCTTCAGCCTAACACGACGTCTGAATGATGCCAGAAAACCGGCATCCATAGCTACTACCACTCGGTGCCGCAGAGCAGAACTGAACAGGAATGCTGCCCTCAAAGGAAAGGGTATGTTTCACACTACAAACATTCTTCAGCCTAACACGATGTCTGAATGATGCCAGAAAACCAGCATCCATAGCTACTACCACTCACTCGGTGCCACAGAGCAGAACTGAACAGGAATGCTGCCCTCATCCGGGAGGCCTCAGCAATCCCCCATGAACTTGCCATCCCTTAAATGCCTGCAGTTCATTTGATTCCAAAATTGAACAAAATGAATACTGATAGCCAGAGAGGAGTGATTAATGGTTTTCTAGGCACACAAGAAAGTTCGATTAAGTTTTTTAATAATACTACATTTAGCATCTCCAACTCTTTACCTAGTATTTATTCTTCATAAGGATCATTCATGGTAACAATCTGCTACTGTAGTGTTAAACATTAATTGCTTGTGACAAGTATTTTGAAAGGGCCTTTTTACTGTTACGTATTATTCTGAACATCAATTTCTTCAATTTTTAATTCCTTTTCCTTCCAGGGAACTCTGCTTATTGTCATCTCCTTGTTTGGGAGAGGAGGTATTGTTAGTTTTAGTTTTATTTGTTTTACTTCATAAATCTTACCTTTCACTGAAAAAGCTTTCATCTAGCATTTCTCTTAACATATGAAGATTATATCCACATGCATTGGGGCGAAAGCAGGAATAACATTACCTTCACTCATGAATACGCACAGTAACCTTGACATAAATGTTCTCGGTCTGTGACTAGTACAAATAAGCATGAGCAAATTGTAGATTTGTGAACAATCTTGCTAATGGAAGTGAAAAAGAAATGTAGATTTCATACACGAAACAGGAAGAGGAGACTCAAATTACCACCTACCCCTCAGGCACACTTTGCTAATTTCCTGTTGTTACTGTGTTGTCACCTTCCTGGTCCCATCATTAATACAGGGCTAAATTGAATGAAATGCTAAGGCATCAGTCTAGTCTAGTATTTAAATGAACACCAAGATCTGCCTAACAGCTTTGGTCTAACAACCCAAATAAGGTTTACAGGCTTGAGCCAGGATTAATCAGCTTTTTAGGGCAGGAAACTACATCCGTGTAATGCTCTGTATGCCTACATCAAACAGCATCTTTAACTGTCATTGTGATCCTTTTGGCTCTGAAAACCAAGATGTATTTCACTGATATTTGGATGTGAATTTCCTGCAAAAACAGAGAAACATGCTTAACTATATGCTTTAATAGCACAAAGGTTTCTTCTACTATTTAGCAATTCTACCTCTATTTCTATGCTATATCTCTGGGTGTAATAATTTAGTGGATAAAAAAAATTTTAAAAATCAAGGGTATTTTGTTGAAATAAATTTTGGATTACTGTACTACATCTGACAAGTTGGCAACAATCTAGAAAGGGTAAAGGCAGATCTATAAAATCTTCTCTTTCCTAAAATTAACTTGCCTCCTGCCTTTTCAGGTAGTATAAAATTAATCACTGAATACTGATAAATCTGCACAATCTGGTACTGCTAAGAAAAGTATAATCCTGTCATTGAAGTGTAGGTAATCCAATCCTCCCAGGTTACACAAAATGAATGTACAGGCAAGCATTTCTGTAAAAGACGTCAAGTAACTCCATTTTAGTTGAATTTTTTTAGTGACCATTGCTTCAGGACACTGCTACACCGGAAAAATCTTTTGCACATAATAAGAACGTGCTTAGTAGCGATGTAATTTTCTCCCGCCATCCACAGCAGCATTTGTGAGCCCAGCCATAAAGGAACATTTGGACGATACATTCAGACACATGGGTGAGATTTACCAAGACGAAAGACAGATTTCACATCCTCTTGAGAAAGCCCCAAACCCCACTTTCCCACCACAACTTCTGTAAGGGGACTTCACGCTAAATCAGATCCTTCTCTGGGGACCTGTTTTTAAATGACCAACCAGGAACTAGTATGGGCAAATCTCACAGAGGAAGACAATTTTAGCATTCCTTGGCTTCTTGGCTTCGAGAGAAGACATTACATTTAGTGGCAGCCAATGCAGCACACAGGCATAGAGGTTGTCTAAGTAATAGTATGAACTGTTAAGTTTTGGTATTAGCCTGTAAAACTACACGAAAAGAGCACATAACTGGAAATCTAGCATCAGTTTGCACCAGTTTCACATCTCTGACAAAATGCAAAAAATCTCTCTTACAAAATGCAATTTTGTTCACATCTGAGTCTCTCAGGGATGTGTTTAGTCCTGCATCATTGTAACATAATGGCTATTATGTAAACCTGAAAAGGAAAAGGTCCTTTATTTATACATCTGTTTAGCAGCTCTGGGCAGGGGTAAGAAACTTGGAGCTCTTTGCTTTCGATGGAAAGCTGTTTTCAGATATGAGTAGAAAATTAATCCTTTTTTCAGCTAGCACATTGAATAGAATATTTCAAACTAATAATGGTCATAAAAATTGTTTTAGTGTTCCCATAAGATAAAGAGCGGATGCCACTGCTGTAGATGTTCAGTCTTAGCATCTTCTTTCTATCTCTTGCTGGAGAGCACATGCATAAGTATAAATTACACTCGTCAATGTTTACTCTCACTGGCTATAGGAAAGCACAAACTTGTCAGTCAGTCACTTCCTTCTACTGTTGTTTCACTAGAAGAGGTTTCAAAAGTACTCTCCTGTAGTTATCTGATCTGTCCTAGCTTTTCCAGTCCTCAGGACACTCAAGGGATTCTCAGAAGAGATCCTTTCCTTTCCTCCTTATGTTGTGCTCAGAGTGAAAGCCATTCAAACTTGTCACCAGTTTTGAAAGACCTCTCAGACCATTCAAATGAGCCTCCTTACAGACAACTTCCTCTCTATCCAACTTCTGATCTGAATCTCATCTCACTCATACCAGGCATAAGTCCATGAAATAACTAACACAGTAACAATAAAACGTTGCCACAGAGTAGCCCACTGTATTTAACCTCAGAAATAGTCACACTGAATTTTGCTGCAGATTTTTCTCCCAAGCAAATCAGCAAAGCATGACAACAAGAATCTCTTCACAGAAAGTATGCAAACCTTTTCATAATGTCATACCCCGAAAAAAAAAATACTTTAAATGTCTGTAGCTGAGCCTGGATCACATTTTGGAAGCCTGATACAGCTTTTTTTTTCCACCCCCTTTATCACCGTCCATTACTTGTAACTACAGTGAGAAGCAGCAACTTTACACCAATCACAGAAAAACAAAAAAATTATGCATATGGGAATAAAACTCACCATGCTGTTCATTTTTGAAGAGGATGAGCTTGCTCTCTGCTTCCGTAGGCTGTTAAGCTCTTCTGTGTTTCCATCCTTTGGTTTTATGATCAGCCGACTGCCTCCAGCAGTACCTTCTGAAGAGGATCTCAGTCGTTTCTCAACAAATCTGCCTTCTCGGTATGGACTGAAGCTATTGGCAAGATCAGCTACAAGTAGAGAAGCAATCAACAATCGTTATAGAGAATTACTCTTTACAAATATTTTCTTAATGAGAACACTGCTTTACTCGAAATGCTTACATTGAAAGGCAATCACATAAGAGATGTTCTGTAGAAAGCAGATCCTGATCTACCTAGATAAAAGTGTCACCTGAGCCACCAGTTTGCTCTTCAGCTCTCAGTGACTAGCACACTCAGCATGCTACAGCCCAGTCCACAGCTCCTCACAGAATCCAGAAGGATCTTTGCTCCATTCTTTCGTTTCTCCGCTTGTTCTAGGAACCTTCAAAACCACTGTCCAGTAAAATCCACCAGAGAAACTATTGCTGGTCCACTGGTGCCAAAACTCGACCTGCCCTACCCTGCACTTCAACGCAAGTCCAGGTTTTGCGTGGCCAGGTCGCAGCTTTGTTATCACTGCAGAGGACAGGGATGCACATTGGTTTTGGCTTCTGTTTGGCCTTTCTATCTGAGTTCTGCATCCGTGCTTTCCAAACCCAGCCTGCAGCCAGCAGACTGAATCCCAATCCCCAATTCCAGTTAAACAATAACACATCAGAAAAGAGGAAAAAAATTACATTTTGAGGTACTAGGGCAAATTTAGAGATGAGGAAAGAGAAAAGCATAATAGCACAATAAGTGAAACATGGAAAACTACCTTCTTTTGCCTTTTGTAAGGAAACAGACATTTTCTGTAAGGCTTTTCAAAAAAATCGATATCACACAAAAATATATAAAGGTATACTAAGAAATATATGGCACTTCAAACCTGCTCATACATTAATGTCATGTTCACGACGCTATCTATAATGATATCAGCTATGAGACCAGCTACGGAAGACAAAGTATCTATTACCAAAGACAATGCACAGAAATATTTTTCATTCACATCTGTTTTTAAAAACTGTTTTAGCAAAACCAGATGCTCAAACCAGTCTGTCTGTAATAGATATAACTACTCATAACCATATCTTACTGAAGGCCACATAAGCTTTTTCTGTATTTGTTTCATTTGACATGGCAGGATTTTTTTATTTTTTTTCAATGGTTCCTTTGCATGCTTGGCCAGTTTCTAATTTTAACTACATTCTTCACCACACAAGTAAAAAAAAATTGCATTTTGAACAGCACTATAAAACCCTAATAATTAATCATCAACTTTAATGTAGTGCAGTACTAGCTCTAGAGTTTCGGTGAACATGAATCCCATTTACAAAAATCCCTCTATTACAGTTTCAATTGCAGTTCGCTGCCTTCCAGAAATACATATTAAATATACAACTGCCGATGCACGAGTCTCAAATGCTCTATGTATTTCTAAACACTACTGTGAGCTGCTCACTTGCTGTTCTGCAGTACACTCTAGTAAGTCAGATTCAAAAGGATGAGCTCATTCACAGATAAGCCAGTGCTGCAAAAAAAACGAGTGCTCAGGACCGGTAAGATACATAAGTGGAAATATTTTTTCTCCCAATTGACTAAGATTCTGAGGGAAA